ATGGACAGACCGGGCTGCCCACCAGTTGACTTGGGCTTCAATACGAGTATCTTCTTAAAGGTTGGACCAGATGATCCTTGCTGGGATTCCATGATTCTCTGAGTTTGGCTGCAGCAGAGTGTTTGGATGAGAAGGTTGACTGCAATTCACAGATGCTGCTGTAACAGCCAGTGTGGGTGATCCCAGCTCTGCTTCTGGTTGTGGTTTGTCTTGGGATGTGGCTTTGGAGGATCTTTTCCTGGTGCTGTGGCATTTATCGGGTCTCTGTGCTGCTGTTGTCCATCATTTTCAGTTAAATAAATTAGAAACGTGTTAGCTTCAATTACAGCATGGCTAAAACCTAATGCAAATGTTTGCTACGCCTGCTCAGGCCATGCTGCTTTATTATAGCCCTTGGCAATGGCAGAGGAGAGGTTTGTGTCCTGACCTATGGAGCTCGGAGGTTTGGTGGTCCTTGCTGGTGGCATTTCCCCCTTTGCTGTGCTGTTAGGTGATGTCTTACCTGCCTGCTGTGTCCACGTAGTGCTCTCTGCATCTGGGTAGACCTTGCAGTGGAAGAACAGAAGGATCTGTGGGGTCACTGCTCTGCCCTCAGGTCTGCACAGAGCACAGGAACACCCTGAAGCCTTCATTTCTCATTTGAAATAAAGCGTAACTTTACTGAAATAATCCAGATTTGATTAAAAAGCAAGTAATAAGAAAGAAATTTGACAGTGATGGATAACCCACTCCCACCATTGGTAAATTGTCCTGGTGCTTAATTACCTTCAGGGCCAAAAAAGAAAAGAAAGGCGTAAGTACAGTGTGAAACGCTCTGAGGGCTGTGTGGTTATTGCTGATACATGTTTGCTAGCCATGGTTCACCCATTGGATGACAGAGGGTGATGTGATGCTCCGTCATCAGGGTCCTGCTTGCCCCAACTCTCTGTGGGGTTCAATGGGGGGTTCTTGTGCTGGTCAGAGCCTGGCTCTCCCAAGGGACTGCCCTTAGAGCAGTGGCTCTGGTTTGCGAGCCCTGTTGAACTTAGATGTAGGTAGGATCGGGCTGGTGGTCTGCACAATGAGGAATGATAATTGGATTTGGATGTTGTGTGGCAGCCATAGTGGATTCAGAGTAGGAAAAGAGACAGGGATATTTCTTCCTCCAGGGCGAAACCTTGTGTTGATGTTCGGAGGAGGCAGCAGAAGGGGTTCAGATCAGCGCTGGCTGCAATGCTGTGCTATTTGGTAGCAGTTCTGCTTTGACTTGCAAAGGGATGCTTTGGTATAACAGGTCTACCTAGCCTGAACAATGTGCTCCAGCTTGGGACCTTCTTCTGTGACTTTCTTGGCATGGTGGTGGGCAGATCTTTAGGACTTGCTTTCCTAATGGCTGGGCTGTGTGGCTGCGGGTGTGCTGTGTTTGCAAAGCTGCAGGGCTGGAGGAGCCCTATGGGGGCCTCATCACATCCACCCCATTGTGGAGCAGAGCTGACCAGGCAAAGTCCAGAGCCTGTTGCAAGGAAGTTTGTCTGGAGCCCAGAGCAGCAGGACTACCTTGTCTTTCACTGCTTTGGTAGGGAAGGGTGATGACTTGTTACTTGATACATCCTCTTGCTGCTCAGAAATTGCCCAGCATCTCGCACAGATGCCCAAACAGTGATCACCCTTCAGGTTGGCAGCTTCATAATTCATGTCAGTGCCCAATTTCTTTGACTTTGAGGTGGCTTCTTCCATCATTTTCTCCTGTGCTTCAAATAAGTCCCAGCCTCTCCACTTTCCAGCTTCAGGTGGGGTTTGCTCCAGTGCTCCAAGCCCTACAGTTCTGCACACACGGAGCTTGTCCCCACCAGCCCCTTTCTTTCCCACTCTCCTCTTCTTCCCATCCTCCTCTTCCTCCCATCCCTCCTCCTCTCTTGTGGGCCTCAGCAACCCAGTGGCTCCCTCTCAGCCACGCAGGGCATGCAGGAGCACAGTGGGAAGGACATTACGTGGGAGAATATGCATGTTCACAACTCGGAGGATTAAAGGCCCATGTTCTTATCACTGCAGAACAGAGTATTATAAATCCAGCCTTAGAATACCAAATCCCTGAGCGGCTTGGCCATTGTTTGGGAATATTAAAAAGCTCGGAGACAGAAATAATCAGTTTCCGAATGACACATTGTCAAATAAAACATTTCTCATATTATCCATTCCTTCCTCTTTCTCTTTCCCGCTCCCTCAGCTGGATAATTTAACATGAAAAGTAGATTAAAGTGAAGCTGGCTTGAATGCCTCCTACCTTTGACTCCTTTTTTCCCCTCCTTTTCCCCAGCAAGCATTCCCAGGATGTGCAGTTGGTTAAATATGCAGCTGGTAGCATGGGGTCAGGGACAAAAGGAGTATGTTGAAAGCAAGCTGCCTGCAATGAGCCCATGGGTGGTGGCACAGGCACCCCCAGCCTTTCCCAGGCACAGAGGGGACCATCGTATTGATGGCTGGTAGAGCAAAGATCTCTGGGTCATCCCCAAAGGATGCGGGAGATGTGGCTGCGTCAGCTTCCTTGAGCCAATCCCATCATTCCCAAGCCACCAGAGGAACGGCACACTAATAACTTCTGTGCCTTTATGCCTTCTCCTGATCCCTTCCAAGCAGACACATCTTTAATTGAACGTGCTGACAGGTTTATCTGCTCCACTCTGTTCCCTGAGGGCAGAGACAAGGTGAGCCCAGCCAGGCAGCTCCTGCACTGCTGTGGATACATGGTTCCTTTCCCTGGGTCCATCTGGAAAAGCTGCTCCTTGTGCAAGGCTTTCGCAGTCATCCCTGACCTTTTCAAAGCATCTGGGTTGTCTCTGGTTGTGCTTTTCCAGGGAGGGCAAGCTCCGCTGTGTCTGTAGTTGTGGAGTGTTCTGCCCTGCACTGCAGCCACTTCACAGTTGCAGAACATCCAGGTGTGAGCTGCATCCAGCTAAGAAGCTCCGAGACTTGGTGGTGAGGCTTTGGAGAAGGCTTTTCCCTGTACTCATGTCCATGATTGTTCTTAAACCCTTCTGTAATGTGAAGCCCTTGCTTTGCTGGAAGGATGCTAGCACACAAGCTGGATGTGGTCTTGCGATGTGGTTGATCACATTGAAGCCTGTGGCCCTGCTGTGTCCTTGTCACTGGGTCTCCCTTCTGGAGTGTCTGCTGTGCCATGGTTTCTCTCCTGCAAACTGGACTTCCAAGGAAATGGACACGGTTTGGTACAGGTGGCTCATGCTAGGGAGCTCCTGCGATGCTTCAGGTTCTCCATGCATCAGTCGCTGCACAGACCCAAGGAAATGCACGTCTGCCCTTCCAGGCTGAGGTGTCCAGACTGGTTTTTGCTTCTGAGCATGGAATGCCATTAAGGGTCCTTATCCCATGGTCCTTTAAGTGCTCTATTACTGAAGGGCATGAAATGGTTCTGCTCACCGAGCCCTACCCTTCTCCAGTGCAGAGATCCCTGAGCATCTCCTGGATGCTAAAATACCTTTCCTGATGGTAACATGCACTGGGAAAGTCATCTAAGCAATGCCTTCCTGAATCCCCAAGCCCTGCTCCTGTTAGTTACGATTAGGGGGCAGAGAAGAGGGTCTTGATGTGGGAGAGGCTGGGCTACTCTATGTAGCAGGTCATGGTGTGGGGTGGTCCAGGGAAGCATCTTTCCTCTGCTTTTGCTCCCAAGGCCTCTCCCCCACCTTAACTCACCCTGTGAGCTGCAGTTTTTGATGCCACCTCTTTACAGCTGATCCTACTTGAGCTTCTTGTACAGCTCCATGCTTTGCTTCCAATGCAGAGGGAACATTTGAACCTCTTCGCTTCGCTTTTGCACACTGTCAAGCTGTGGGCTGCAGCATCCCCTGTGCCACAGAAACCCCTGCCCTGGTGTCCCAGGTTGGGCTGCAAAGCCCTGAGGGCTCCCGCTGCTCCAGATTTGTGTCCTGCTTTCCTTCTCTGCCACAGGATAAAATTACTCTGACCCTGTGGAGATGAAGAGGTTGTTACATGCGCAGCTCCTGCCTGTATGGGCCGAGGTGGCTGAATTTAGGTACTTCCTAACCCGGCTCCCTTGGGAGGAGAGGCCACTTCCATGGATATCTTATAGCTATTTAGGAAGTTGGGTTTTTTGGTAGAGTTTCATTATAATGTAATTGGGGGCTGTATTGAATACAGTTTAGAGGTGGGTGAAGAGGAGAGCTTTGCAGAGATGGTTTTGGTCTGGAATATGTTGTGCTGTGCCTCCAGGTCTGCAAGGCTCATCACAGCCAGAAGTGCTGGAGCTGGGGTCAGCATCCTCTGTGTGATGCTGTGTCTCTTTGAACATTTACAGCTCAGGGGTCAGTGGCTGGGTTGTCTTAATGAGTTTTTTTCCTCCTAAGTGGTGGGATGCGATCGCCTCCTTGTCCATCTCCCCCTGCAAAGTGTCAGGGAGGGCTTGACCACCTCGGACCGCTGTGTGGGTGAGCTGGGGGGGATCCAAGGGGTGTGTGGTAAGAACAAAGGCTCTGAGAGAGGGGGCAGAGCTAAGCCAGGATGTGACTGTGCTATTTTCAGCTAAAAGCCATCTCTAGCACCCTGCTTACCTGCCTGGGATGTCCTACCTAGGGGTGGCAGCTCCATGAACTCACCAGTGTGTGGATTATGGAGCACTGATGAAAGGGTGCTCTGGGGATAGGAAAGGAGAGGGTCCATGGATGCTGACTGCAGCATCTCCCTAACCATCCTTTTGCCTTCTGCATCTCCTGACCCATCCCTGTGCCATCTGCATCTCATCACCCATCCTTCTGCATCTCCTGAACCACTCTGGCACCTTCTGCATCTCGTCACCCATTCTTCTGTATCTCCTGGCCTGTCCCTTTTCCTTCTGCATCTCCTCACCCATCCTTGCATCTTCTGCATCTCCTCACCCATCCTTCTGCATCTCCTGACTTGTCCCTGCAGCTTCTGCATCTCCTGATCCATCCCTTTGCCATCTTCATCTCCTGACCCTTCTCTCCCTTTGCTCTCCTCTGCAGGGTGGGCTGATCGCGCTGCTGCTGCTCCTCCTGGTCTTCATGGTGGCTCTGTACGCCCAACGGCGCTGGCACAAGCGCCGCCGCATCCCACAGAAGAGTGCCAGCACGGAGGCCACGCACGAGATCCACTACATCCCCTCGGTGCTGCTGGGCCCCCAGGCCCGCGAGAGCTTCCGCAACTCGCGCCTCCAGGCCCACAACTCCGTCATTGGGGTGCCCATCCGCGAGACCCCCATCCTGGATGACTACGAGGATGAGGAAGAGGAGGAGACGCCGCGGCGGGCAGAGCCCAGCACCAGGGAGGATGAGTTTGGCAGCCAAGTGACACGGACGCTGGAGAGCCTGGGCCGGGGTGGGGATGAGAAGCCTGACTACGAGAAGAAAGGTCTGTGGCTTTTCTATCTCTTCTGTCCCTCTCCACATCTCCTGCTAGGGTGTCTGTCCTATATGGGGTCACCTGGAGAGGATGGCTCATCCCCATGGCTGGCACTTGCCTCTGCAGGCTTTGGTTCTCAGCTGTCAAGGTGGTTTGCAGACCTTGTCTTGGAGCTGCTCTTCCAGAGATGGGAATCACTTCTGGATGGTGATGGGGAAACTGAGGCATGGTTGCTATAAGACCTCAGTTGTCATTGCCAGCCCTAAGGACCAGGTCCCATGGACTAGCATAAACTTTTTACTGTGCTTTGCTGGTGGTTCAGGTACCATTAGGGGTATGTGAGCATGTGCTTGGAAGCTCCACATAGATGTAGATTCATGGGATCTGACCTGTTTCTTTTGTCATCATCTCCTTCCAAAACCAGTCCCCTGTTTCCAACATGGTTTGGAAAGCTGATGGCGTGTCTGGTCCTAGCAATGGCAGAGACTGCTGTGAACCCCTGGTTGGGTTTGAGGATGCTGGATGTGGGAGCAGAGCTGGCATGTCCTTAGGGAGAGGACAGAAGAGTCTGGGAAGGAGTCACTGCTGCTGCAGCAGCGCTGGAACTCCTGTCTCCTTAACAGGATGGGAATGCTGGGATTCATGCTGTGGGTACGTGCTAGGACAGGGGCATCCATCAAGCCTGTCTTTACTCTCTAGGTGGCAGGAATGTTCATCGTTTTGCTTGGAGCAGGGCATCCGTTCTATGGAGTGAATGTGCCTGCGCCGGGGCTGCTTCAGCCTGCTGAGCCATGGGGCTCCTCAGAGAGCTGCTCCATGAAGCTGTATTTTCTGCTCCTGGCAAAACATCCCCGTGCTTTATGCTCTGAGCAATCAGACAAACGATCCTATACTCGCCCACAAACAAAGTCATCGGGGCTAGAGATTTAAGGCGAGAGCACAGGAGCTCTGAGTGGAGCTGGAAATGGCAGATCAGATAGTTCTGATTGAGGAAGGGAGTGCAGAGCTGAATCTGTGTGGATCTAATGGATGGACACAGAATGTGAATGCTTCCCACCCGTGGTGTTTGGCCTGGCTGGGAGGGTGTTCTGTAGCATCTGTAGGTCAGATTAGAAAGAAGCCTCTACAGTTCCCTATGTGAGTTGTGGCTGCTGCCTCTCCCTATGATGCTGGCTGCTTGTAAGGTACAATGTGAGATAGCACCACTGTTGCAAAGGATAAATCCCTGATAGTAGGCGCATAGAGCAGGGCTGGGGTGCCCATTCCTGAGTAGTTGAGATGCTGCTGATGCTTTGTGCCTTCTCAAAAGGTGTTGAGCTGGGATTTCAAGGAACTCTGGTCCTTTGCCGTTCCCTTCCCCAAAGCTCTGCCCAGCTCAGAAAGTAAGAAGTGGTGGGGTCCCTCTGGGTAAAGCAGTCCAGCATCAATTGGACCAAAGGCTGGACATGAAAGCACAGGCAGACATGGTCCTCTGCAGTTGCAGTGTACATGATGGTACCCATTTCTGGCTGTACCAGGTATGTGGGTGCAGAAGGGGTGCCCTATGGACTGGGTTTGGCAGCAGTCCTGCATCTATCAGCCTTCTCCTGGGACGATGGGAGAGACCAAGCCATGGGTGACAGATACTTGTGGTGTCTCTTCATGTGCTATTGGAGGGCCATGAGGAGCTCTAGGAAGAGGCCAGTGTGAGAGCCTGTATGAAGCCTATGCAAAAGACTGCTCTGTATTTACTTGTTCTCTTAACTGCAAATATATAAAACCCATGTTGCCAAGTTGTGTTGTTCTGCACTTGGAGAACTGTTTCCATGAGGGCCAGGCAGGGTTTGGGTGTTGATGTGTGGGCTGGAGGGACCATGGACTGCACGGGTACAACTGTGTGACTTGGGAGAGGTGTTTCGCCTGCGTGGAGAAGAGCAGCTCTTTCCCCAGGGTGTTTTGGCTAATGCACACTTGATTGCCTGCATCTTTAAAGCCTGTCTCTCAGAAGCTGCAACACCCACCTCTGCTTATAGAAATGTCATTAGAAGCCATTTAATGCTGTTCACCTGCAATGCACAGCGAAACGCATTTGGATAAACAAAAGCAAAGTACATTAGTGCTAATTGCTGAGTGACTGCAGCAGGAGCGAGGAAGGGATGCACCGGCTCTTGGGTGATACTGGACCATCCCTCCCTTTGTCCCATGAATGTCTGGGGTGCTCATAAAGACTGAGAGGACCCTGTTGGAGCACCCACAGTGGCACTGCTGGGGGATAGGGATGGGGACAGGGACCCTTCTTGGCTCCATGGAGGAGACAGCAGCTCTGAGCAGCGCAGCCAGGTAAAGCCCAGATGTGTCGTGTCTGGAAAGCAGGTTGCTGCACTTGCAATGGTCTTAAGTGGTGGCTGAGGTTGTGTTTCTTCCACCCTTGAAGTACTTTTTATTCCTCTTCTAAATAAGGTTATGATGATGGTTATTGTTGCTCAGACCAACACAGAGGTACCCAGGGGTCAACCTGCCATCCTCTAATGCTGATCTGAGCAACCCCGTTGGCATCCCGCTTTGTGTAAGGCTGTCTGTTAGCCTTCAGAGATGTTTCCCCAGCCCTCTGCTCGGTGAGAATGAACAAATGAAAGCCTTCATATGTTGTAACTGAGCTACCTTTTTTATTCTTTCATATTCTCTTCTTTGTTTTGCTTTTCTATAAATTATTTAGCGTTGTGTGAGTGGGGAAGACAGCAGTAACTGCATTTCAGTCCTCTTCAAAACATAATAGTAAACAAGATCTAGGGCAGAATATTAAACCGTCTCAGGGCTTCAGGAATTGGCAATAAAGAACTTCTTATACTGACTGAAAATACCCCCTAAGCCAGGGCTGCAGGCTGCCTGCGGGGCCAGGGCTACCCCAGGCTCAGAGAAGCGTTCACAAGTGCTCCCGTGATGCTGCTGAGCTTTGCATCTCGCATGGAGGCAGGTTTGTGCCTTGCCTGGACTGATCCTTCCAAGGCTGCCAGTTCACCGTCTGCTTGCTCCTAGATGGGCATTTTTCCCTTTTGGATGAGGTTTTGCTCAAGGAGTTAAGTTATGGAATGTGCTAATAATGTTATCCCTTTTCTGAAGCTGTTTGGAGCCTGGGTTGCCGAGGATGAAGCGGCTGTAGTTCAGATGTAGGATTTTAGGCTGGAAATATAAATATACATGCTGGGGGCTTTGCACTCTGATCAGGTTTGCACATCCATGGAAAATACAGGGATATGGAAGGCAGTGGATGTGCTGCACACACGGGTGCTGTGAGTGCCCAGGAGCAGCAGACGCAGCCAGGATTCCCATGGGGATGCAGCAGGTGGGGTGGAGGAACTGCAGTTGGTGTGAGCAGACACCGTGTACCTGGAGATCCCCAGGGGCTGGAAATCAGCTCTGCTCAGGCACGGTTTTACAGGTGGCTGGAGGATGGATGCTGGAGTGTGGCCCTAGCTGAAGGACAGGGTCAGCCTTCCCCAAGTGCATGGCTGGAACTGCCAGGTTTCAGTGTGGTCACCGGGGCTGGGTGATGAGCTGTGCCCGCATCCCACAGAGTCCATCAGCACCCAAGGGAAAAGCTCTTCTCGCTGCTCTTGCAGCGTTGTGATAAGACATCAGCTGGGACTTGTCAGCGAGCTCCAAACAGTATCATCACTGGGGCTGTCACTAGAGACTCTTTCAAGTGTCACTTCCCAGTATTAATTACCAGGGATGGCAAATCCGATGAAGATGGAGCGTTTTGGCTCATCCTCCTCACGCCTGTGCCGCTGCTCTCTCCCCGTGTGCGGGCAGTGATTGATTCCCAGGGTGCCAGGTTGTGCTGGCGGCAAGAGCTTCCCATCACTTGGGATTTGTGCCCCCCACACTGTGCTGCTGTTGGGCTCCATTCCATGAGGAAAATCAGTGGAACAGGGTGCCTGGAGAAGCTGTGGCTGCCCCATCCCTGGCAGTGTTCAAGGCCAGGTTGGACACAGGGGCTTGGAGCAAGCTGCTCTAGTGGAAGGTGTCCCTCCCCGTGGCAGGGGTTGGAACAGGATGAGCTTTAAGGTCCCTTCCAACTCAAACCAGGCTGGGAGTCAATGAAGAATGTGGGTTTTTTCTTCCCCACACAGAGCTTCTGGATGTATCAGGTCAGGCAGGGAATTGCACTGGATGACTGTTAAATACATCCCTGCAAAATGGGAGAGAAGCCCCTGCCCTGAATGTTGAGCAGCACAAACGTTTTGCAGATCACGGGCAAGCAAAGCATGGATCAGCAAGCCAAACTTCCCTCCCGAGTCTCAGGTACCTCGAGCAGCTCCCGCATGGTGCCGGAGCATCTGAAGTGAAGCCCAGCACAAACAAAACACGGGAGCAATGTGCTGAATAATGACATCTAGCAACAAGCACGTCTGAGTGATAAAGTTAATGAAATTACAGGTTCTGACCTGATACCGGGCTCTGCTGTGGGTAGATAAACAGCAGGGCAAAGATGAGATGTTTATTTCTCCCTAGCTGCAGTTGTAATCTGGATGCGCTGTGCAGGGCCATTAGCATCATTACTGTGATGCAAAATCATTCTTGACTTGGGGGACAAAAATACATAAAGAAAAATCCCCCAGCTCCCTGGAGAATGGAAAGCTGACAGAATTAGAATTGCAGCAGGAGCTCAACCTGACCCGGTGACATTGCTCAGAGCCCAGGTGAATTTAGACAGGAGGAAAATCTGAGGCAGTTTAAGAAGAAAAATAGGCTTTTTCTTTAAAATTAATATAATAAAATGAAATGGAGCGAGGAAGGAGGCAGTAGGCAAGCATCCCTAATTATCCAAAGGATCCCTTTGTGCTAGTGTGGAATGGGGGCCATGCCGTCTCTTCGTGGTTTTGGGTTCTCTCTGGCAATTAGAGGGGTTTGTGCCCTTGTGGGTTTGTGTGGTGCCAAGTGTGGGCCTGCTGGTGAGGGCTGCAGTGTCTGGGGTCTTGGTCTTCACTGGGGAGACTCCAACCTGTGTTGGAACCCTGTTCCCAAGT